TTTGATAAAATCAAGATCACTTTTTTTTTTAAAAAAAGGAATTGCTTATACAGTATATAGAAAAACACTCAGCTCTGTACAATATCAAGATTCTAATCCTTCATTCTCTTGTTGGATTATCTTTCCATTTCAGTCCAGGGAAATGTGTTTTAGTTTGCTTGTTTTTTTCTTAAACTGCAACATAAACAGAAACATAAGATACATAAACCAAAATACAAATCAACTGTCTTTCCCACCACCATAGTTGGGACCTCAATGTACTTATTCTGATAATCAGTCAAATTTCTCCAATGTTTGCTCTGTAATATAAGGCACACCTTATGGAGGGATTGGCCCCACTGAGCACAGAGCGCTGCCCTTCACCACTCTGTAGCAACAATAATAAGGAGCTGCTGGGGTTTAAATAAGAGCCTGTTTACAAATCACAGTCTTTAACAGGCAGGCCCTCATTTAAACTCCATCAGCTCCTTATTATTGTTGCTACAGAGTGGTGAAGGGCAGCGTGCCTTATATTACAGAGCAAACATTGGAGAAATCTGACTGATTATCAGAATAAGTACGTTGACAGTCAATGTATTGAAGTGCCTCACTCTTAAAGAAAGCAGAATCTACTCACTTTTGGCAGGTCTAGAATTTGTATTGTTTACTGGGGAGAAAGTCAGCAGAACTGAACAGGAAACTGTGAAGTCCAAGTTGGGTCTGAAGGTGGAGTTCTTTCCCTCCAATAAGAAGATCTAGAATTTAACCCCATCATTTCCTATTCTTCCCGTCTGGTATTAAAAGCTCATTCAGCTGTAGATGTGCAGTGGGGGCTCAAAGAAGGACAACCGGTGAACCAGGGCCAGGGTGGCAGGTGCTCAAGGCTCATTGATGCACACTGGGATCAAATGTTACCCCATCTGGTCTGATCACACAAAAGAGCTACTGTAGCTCAAATTGCTGCATATGGGGTTGTGTAGCTGCAGACCGGTCAGAGAGCACCACTGGAAATGCTTACAATGGAGGCGAGAGCGACAGACATGGACCATGGAGCAATAGAAGAAGGTTGCCTGGTCTGATGGGTCATATTTTCTTTTGAGACCAGGACGATAGCCTAGTGCATGTGTGTCATTTACCTGGGGAAGAGATGGCAGCAGCAGGCACTATGGGAGGAAGGCAGGCCGGTGGAGGCAGTGCTATGCTCCGGGCAATGTTTATTTATTTATTTATTTATTTATTTATTTAATATCCCGCCTATCTAGTCAGCTCAGGACCACTCTAGGCGGCTAACAAACAAAGAATAATAAAAATAAACATATATAATACAGCATAAATAATAGAAACTTCGCAAAAGTAAAAAGCAGTGGAAATGTTCTGCTGGGAAACCTTGGGTCCTGGCACTGATGTGGATGCTACTTTGACATGTAACATCTACCTAGAGATTGTTGCAGACCATGTACTCCTCTTCATGGCAACATTGTTCCCTGATGGTAGCAGCCTCTTTCAGCAGGATAATGCATGCCCCTTGCCACACTGCAAAAAAATTGTTCAAGAATGGTTTGAGGAACATGACAGAGAGCAAGGCATTGCCTCAAATTCCCCAGATCTCAATCCAATTGAGCATCTATGCGATTGGGCATATAGCTCATTATTTGGGTTGCTTTTGGCATTATTTGGTTCGCTCTATTTTCTGTAGACCACCTGTGTTTTCAGTATTATCAGTGCACCCCACACCTTTTGCAAACTGTTCTGCTCCTTTCTGGAACAGCGCTAGGGCTGCAGTTTGATGAGATTGCTCTTGGTTATCCCGTTCTGCAGTCTACATGGTTGGTTCACCTACTCCCAAATGGAGCTGAGGTTGGCATCCTCTGTGATGATGATCCTGCGACATATGCAGTGGGTGGTGACATTAAAAGGGATGAGGAGGAATTTCTTGACAGTGAGAACCACTGAGCAGTGGAACAGCTTGCCTCCCAACGTTGTGGGTGGCCCATTGCTGGAGGTTTTCAAGAAAAGATTGGAAAGCCATCTGTCCCGGATGGTATGAGGTCTCCTGCCTTAGTCAGGGGGTTGGACTAGAAGACCTCCAGGGCCCCTTCCAACCCTATGATGATTCTATTATTCTATGTCACAATTCTAGATCCATTGGAGGTGCCCTTTGAAACTTGTACCGCATGTGATGCAGCACTGACTCCTTGGGAAGAAAGTTAAAATAAGGAAGTGGTGGAGATTCACCTCGGTGGGCGGGCAGGGCGATGAACGGCAGGGTAGGGGATGGGTAAAGGGGTCATCAG